CCTAGAAAGAACTATCAGTTTCATGTGAAGCAGCTTTTTGTGCGCTCAGAAGAGAAGCCACAGAACTGTGCACCCTGGGAACTCCCTGTAAAGCGGGAAAGATATATGTACAAAAACAGACAAAACTTTACACCAAAAATGATTTTTAAAGACATAACTTCCCATTTTAGCAATGAAACAAGTTGCGTAATTTTAATGCTGTCTCTCTCTATATATATATTTAATTTACATCTCGAAGATAGCATGCAACTCTCCCTCTCATGAGCAGACCAATAAAAGCAGAGAAATATAATTAGATGAGCATTTGGAATTTATTTTTGAGTGAGTGAATCTGAATGACTGTGAGACTCACTTGGGATGTTTTACCAGGGAATATATCCTTTAGCTTGCTAATGGAATACATCCAAATAAGGAAAGCACATTTTTCTTAGAAAAAAAAATGGTAGAGTCTCCTCTGCAAGAATCAGGGATCTCTCTTATGAAAACAGAGTGAAAAATGCATAGGGGAAGGACTCAAGGAAAGCTTTGGAGGCGGCTGGCTGAGATTCTGTTGTATCGATCATTTAACACCACTAGCACTTAATTGCATGGTTAATGGTCTGCTACAGAATTAAATTCTTCAAAGAAATTGTGTGTGTGTGTGTGTGTGTGTGTGTGTGTGTGTGTGTGTATGATTTAAATCAAAATGCATAAAAATATATATATCTTCTTCCCGAGAGATGAATACAGTATCCCTGGCAATAGGAATTAATGAAAGATGTTGCAACCCTTGCAGTCAATGTAGTTACATTGATTTGTACTGGTGTAGGAACTGACCTTTGAGTTCAAAACAAATCCAATGATGTTAGAAAAAAAATCTCTAATAAATATATATAAGACAACATTATCAGAAGTGTCTGTGGGAATTAACATAAAATGAGACTCAAAAATATTTTCTAGTATGAAAAAGTAGCCGAGATTTTAAAAAGAAACATCTATTCTTCATCAGATGAGAGAAACCCTGAGAGGAGGACTAGCATAGCTAATAACCCAGGAACTGGGGCAACCATGTAAAAAGAAAGAGAGAAAATACCCAAGACTTTGCCCGATCCAGCGTGCAATCAGCCTCCATATCATCACGTCAGAGTAATTATTTGTACAAAGTACGACCTCTCCAAAGGGAAGAGATGTACAGCCATCCTCTGGCACAGCCAAGAGACTGGCAGGGAAGGCACTCAATTAGGATATTCAGCAGCAGCAGGCTTCCCTGAGCTGATTATCTACTGCATTCAGGGTGTTTCTTACACAGTTCCTGATAGCTCTCGAAGACTTGGAGAGAATTTGGAGAAGGAGAACAATGTCTAGTTCCATGTTGTTCATTGCATGGATGCAATCAGCGGTATTATACACGAAAAGTGGCTGGTAAGCATCTGTTAAAGGTACGGTGAATTGATAGCTTGCACATTGTTTCCTTAGAGTCTCTGCTGAGGGTTTTCTTTTTTTTAAGTGTTCTTTTTCATTGTCAGCTTACAATGTACTTTCCATAAAAGTGCTCAGGAATAAGACTTGATACCAGTCTTTGTAACTGTTGAAGCCCTGGTTGTTGGTGTTCAATCTCCTATCATTACCTGTGTATTCACTTTGTTCCAGTCCCAGAAATGGGAATAACATACAGTCGAATCAACTTGATCCTGTTACAGGGCTATGACTTTTTGTATATATTAAAGAGACTTCCCATAGTTACTTCTCCTTGCCACGATATTAAGGGAATCAGCCAAAGAATCAGCCAAGAATGTACTGATAATGCAATTACTACTAGATTGATGTTTTTAAATGTACTGTTGTTGACAAAAAGCCCTCAGAAACCTGAAATGTTAATCTGTTTTTCTTTTGCGAATTGAGTACTGCCTGCTGTGTACATCCTTTTATTACTGTAGGGCTGCTCGTAAGCTCCAGGCTGTTGGCATTTATTTATTAAAAAAGAAAAGTATAAAGAAAACAGCACTGAAACATTTTTTCAGTTGGATTCCAAAGCAAGAATAATTGGCAGATATAGGGAAGAAAAAAAAAGAGAGAGTTCCACATTTTGGCCCGAGAATATTGACGGATGAGAACAGAAGGAGCAGTGTCCGCATCCCCAGGGACTCAGAGTCAACGAAACAAAGCTGACTTTCACAACTAGTTGTCTGGACAATCAAGAGGCTTTTTACAGATTGATGCTTATGTTTAATAAAGTGGCCAAACTGCCTGAGTCTGCATGAAGCTGTAGGAAATAAAAAGCAAAATTCCACAGAGTGGTGCAAGAGCAGTACAATACAATTGCAGGGATTTGCGAATAAAATCTTTATGAAAATGGGCAGGTTTCCTAGTTAAAAGACACCTTCTGGTGTGTCATTTATCAACAGCTGCTTTAGAAAACTGAAGTATGGTACAATGATCATTCATAGCAAGCTTTGCTGTCATTAATGACCAGATTTTTTCTGCTTGCTCATTTTGCTCCTGTGGAAACAAGGAACTGAGCGCTCTGTTGTTATACCTTCTCTAGCTCCGCAGCATGAGAGCATAGCTACTTTAACGTGGACATTGCATAACTGTAATTATTCATTCTGTATACATATCTCAATAGTACCTACAGTGGAAAATTCCCTTAGAGATGATTCCTCAATCCACATCAGGGGTGAAGCTAACTGAAATCAAAATTGCAGTCACCAAATGCAAAAACATCTCAAGTTAACAGGTTACATATAGAGTTCAGTTCTTAACTCCTTCCTCCCCACTTAAAAAAATCAGCAACGCTTACTCATCCTGAGATTTCTTACCCTGCTGAATACTGCCTCTTTTGAGGAAAGCACTCATTTCCTTAAAGGACTGTTTACAAACGTGCCTCTTGAATTTCTTTTAGTATACTATGCTCTTATACAGAAAAACTTTTTGTTTGTTTTTTTAAAAAGGGGCAGAAAATATTGACTGAATCATTGGTTAACTGACCTCTAGTTTTACAATTCCACCTGACTTTCACCGAAAGAATCTACATACACAAAGACACGGGAACTGAGCGGGAGCTAGTGGGATATGCAGCATATGACTAGGCAAAATGCTAGACTGCGCTTGGTTAGTATTTATACGATTTTAGTATTCTTGGAAAGCACATGCAATTCCTATGCTCTTTCTTAGAGTCCATAGGCCAAGTTTTGAAGCAATACAATCTATGCTAGAGTCATAGCATAGATAGAATGAACCAAGCTTTTATTGCAAATTACAAAAAAGGCCCTGGGAGATCTATATTTTTGCAATTCCTTCAAACAAATCACAGACAAAATAAATAAGAAATGGAGCTCAAAAGCATATTCCTGTACTCATAAACATGTACTTGGGCAGGAACAAATATATGCATATTTTCAAAGGAGCACACATTATGACTTCTGCAGTTTAGAGGCATTTTATTTTATTTATTTATTTCAGAAAATCTTCTGGGCCACTGAGCTTTTAAAATCTAAAGTCAAGATCAGCATCTACAGCAGGAGCTGTTTGGATCTTTGTAGGCAGAAAATGGAATGAATGGGTTTCCTTCCTCGATGGCACTAGTAAGTTTTGGGAACAGTCAAGCCAGCCAAATTGCCAAACTGATTGTGTAGACTGGGAGCTGACCAGTAGGACTGCCCCCACCCACCCCCAAAGGAAAGCGCGGGAGGTTCCTAAAACCAGATGCTTTTACTTTTTTTCTCTCACTGCAAGCATTAGATGCAAAGTCTGGTGCCAGTTTGCTTACAAAACCCACCCACATCTGCTGAACTGACAGTTTTCTTTGATAGATGCTGGGTTTATGGCTCTAGTGTAAAGAGAATAATATCGAAAGGGAGCACAGAGCATGTTAAAGGGAGCTGTGAAGTACCAGTGCAACTGAGATTTTTGGTTTGAATAAATCTCCCAGTAGTTTGAATGTTTGTCCTGCTCTGATTCTTGCTATTCCAAATTATTCTTTTCCATTACTCTCCCCATGGTTTCATAACTTGGCAGGTCCCATGAGCTTATTAGGTTTTGTTTCCTTCTAAAAAGGAAGGTCAGGGGCTTTCTGTCATCTTTTAGGTCAGCTGCCTCACTCATTATAGCCATAGCCCAAAAGCATAGGATGAAATCTGCATACACAGCCCCATGACTGCATTTCCGTCAAACTGGCTGTCTTCAGGAACAAAGATAAAACCAATGTCCAGCTGTATTCAGAATCCAGACTCTGGTTTCCAAATGTTACTCAGTAGCTGACAATGCTTGGCAAGCAAAAGAGACCCTTTTAATACTATCCTGAACATGCAAAAAGCAGTAATAAGTAGATGATAGCCTTAGAGGTGTGATTTATTTGTTTTATGAATCACAGAAGAGTCCATAACTCATAAAAGATTAAGGCTGAAGCAAGTTGTATGGCTCCTGCATTACAAGTGGAGATTAATGTCTTATTTCACGAAGCACCATCATTAACCGGTCTGCATTACAGTAGTTAATGTTGGTGACAAAAAGGATTGACTTTTAACTTTTGACTTAGGATTGGCTTTTTAAATATTCCCCATTTTGTTTTGCCTTTGCCAGAGGATTTCCTCAGAGACCTGAGAAGTTTCACGGTGAAGAAATCCCAGCCCAGCATTGGTTTAAAAAGCTATTCTAGTCATACACCTGCACCTCACATTATTACTATGGTGATCCACAAGATCAGCAAGACAATAACCACAGCTTTCTCCACACATGTGGGTTGCTTCAAGGCCTTTGGGACCTTTAGTCGTGCTAAGTCACCATAACATGACTTTCCTTCATTAGACTATCTCAATTTACAGCTTGTCTACAAGACAAGTCTACAAGAATGGCTTTTCCTACAAATGCCCTGCAAAACAGCTGAAATAGCTCTGCACATCCACTGTTCCACTGATGACTGCTCCCGTTTCTATTAAACTGGAATAGGCGGGTTTTTTACTGCTTTAGGGGCTTCTCCCTTTTCAGAGTCTTAATTAGTTAAATCTCATCTTTCATGGGTATCATTGTATTTTTTTCTTGGACTGTGGAGTATGTGTGCAAGTGACTTTATCTTTCATTACAGTGTGTCGTATCACAACACTACGGTATTGAATACAATGTAATTTACTAAAATCTATTAAAACACTTCCATTTTAGAAAACCATTACATGCTTCCTTGTTGTTATTACCATATCCAAGAATGCCAGCGCAACAGGAGAATTAACTTGATGAACAGTCCTGCAAAATGTGCCATTACAAGCTGTTTCTAAAACATCTTTCAAGGCATCTCCGTCAGCTCATGGATTCTCTTTGGTTTTCTTTCTTTTCTAGAACTATTTGCTAGCCCTCAGTTGTGGTAAGTGATTATTTGTGCTTTCAAACAAACCCCATGAAAAACGTTTTTCAAGTGGAGATCAAAGAGCAAAGGCAAACATAAAAGCAGTCTTATAAAAACTGTGTATTAAAAAACCTAAGCTCCATCCATATGCCAATTATAACCAAACCTTATGGCCTCTTCTCTGTGAGGCTTCTTAAAGGTGATAGAAATGCCAGATGAAACAAAAATGGCATGCATTATAGAGAGGGAAGGCATCATGGATATGGGAGCTGGCTCTCAGTAACTTTAGACTGAAGAGTTACTTGGAAAGTGCTGCTCCATTGAACAACGCTTGCAGCGCAAACTGTGGTCCCCAGTACAATCGTCTACACCCAGTACAATCGTCTCAGGACTGTAGCCATTTCTAATGGTTGCAGGTGTCAAAACAGTTTCCACAAGCTGGGGGGTAAAATGGTGCCCTAAACCTACTAAAGCATGCAAACTCCTCAATCCCTAACAGGGATTTGGTCTTAAAAGCTAAGGGTTAGTTTTAATTTCGCTAACGAGACACTTCTAAAATTGAAATTCAAAAAGAACGCGTGTTTTTCTATGTTTCTTACTTTCTTCTATGCTTTCTTTTAACAGTTCTGTACTGAGGTTGTTCATGTCGTTCGCTACTGCCAGTTGGCTCATGATGAGATAATATGGCAGAATCACAAACGTTTCCTCATAGGACAAAGTGTTATTGACAACAGAAGATCCTAGACAAACAAGTATCTGTAGTAATAATATGATTTCAGTGTCCATTGGATTTAAGCAAAAGCAAAAAAGGCTTGAAGAAGTGCTATTATTTTAGATAATTAAAGTTCTTCTACTTGCTGACTTCAGTCTGTCCAGATTGTGCTGCCACCTCCATGCAACCATAGCAACTTCTTCCTGCTGTTGTGTCCCAGATTAATGTGAACACCTGGAATCAAAAACCTGAGGCTTGCGAGTAAGGTAACATAAAACTTTATTGATCCTTCGCGTATGGCGTGGGTCCAGTCACACAGCAGTGATTCACTTTCCAAAGCTCTTTCTCAGCATGGAGTGGTGGTGGGTTCTCTAGAGGCCAATCTCTTCTTTGACTGCTTCAAAGTCCTAATCAGGAATATTTGAAGGAGGTGACTGCAAGGAAATCACACATTCCTTCAAGAGATGCAGGTCTTCATCACTTTGATTTTAGCAAATTAATATTGTTAAAGATAGGTCACAACTAAATATGCTCTTGACTTGCCTGTTTTTACTGGGCTCATTTCAGCACTATAAAATTTATACATGCCAACAGGGTTCAATGGGAGCAGTTTGTGGGCAATTAAGGTTAAATTTTAGCCTTGGTCATATGTGACTGCTCCTGTAAATGTGGTAAAACACAGTTAGAGCATATATCTCTAGAGAATAAATAGGCAGTGCTTTAAGGAAGCAATGGAAAGATAAATGGATGCAGAAGAAGCTCTGGAATTTTGCTTGAAATAATTTTCTCTTTGCTTTTAATGATCAAAACCATTCCTCCCACTGAACCACATAAAAAAGTACTATTTGTGTCTGTGCCAAAGGTGGAGCATAGTGTAGACCCACTGAAATAAAAGACAAGTGAAAAATTAATGAGAAACTGGAAACCAGCGGCTCCCACCCTGTGAGCAGCAATCTTTTATATACTTCTTCCACAGTGAATATCTCAATAGGGCTAAAATCACAGTAGCTCCTTTGACTTCAAAGGAGATGTACCAATTGGGAAGTAGGGAAAACAATCTGGAATGCACTGTACTAAATCTGCAGAACTTTGGAAGGGAAGTGAGCCCCTAATAGAACAATTCATTGTTCAGGAGAGGAGGGAATATTCTTACTATGAAACAGTCTTAAGCAAGGAGGAAGGGTCTACAGGTGAACCTAAATCCATCTCTCATTGAGGTACTCACTGCCCCAACAGGGATGCAGACTGCACCTTTAGCTATCATTTCTAGAGTTAGCAAGATACAGACAAATACAACAGAGAGTCCTGTGAGATATAGGTATTCTTTTTCCGTAAACCCTCCACTTACCAATATCTGCTCTAGAAGAAATGACTATTCTGAGATTCTCCTTTCCCAAAGCCTGCTAACATCCATCTGTGCAAGTACCAACACAGTCTTGTATTTTGTCCTGGAAGGGGCTTTTTTTCCTCTAGAAGCCCCAACAGTAACTCCAGAGAACCCGCTAATTAATTATACCTTTTTCCCTGCTATGTGATGTTTGAAATACTGGTTCTTCATGCTCTTTTGGGAAAGTCTGATGAAGCAAATGGAAACACTCCCCCTATTTATATATTTAGCAGTCATGTGACACAGTTTTCCAAAAAAATGAAGATTTGGGGGGAGGGGATCAGAAATCACTGAAAATATTAATAAGCGTATTCTTTTGTTATGTATGAGCCAGAAGAAGCTCTCATACCTCTAATGTGGAGCCAATGATCCAAGAGAATTTCCTAATCTAGTGTCTTTCCCCATGTAGTCATATAATAGCGTTTGTCTTCGACAGCATGCTTAATAAGTTCATTCTACAGTTTTGAAATGACGCCTTTGGAACTTGGGGAGTTCGTTATCACCTGCTCATTGTAAGTAGTACCTCTCTGAATCCGCTATTTCTTAGGAGTTAGATATACAGTGTTTTAATTGCACATCATTAAATGCTTTACCTACACTGAATATTCTCTGTGAAGTCTGTGGGACCATAATTTCCTCCCCTGTAATTAACTGAATTCACGTGGCAGCACTAGTAAAGTGCTGGAAGGAGGGGAGGTAGGAAGGATCTGCATCAGATCTGAATGAGGCCCTTATTCGAGTTAGTACCTACAGTCTGAACCATCCTGGCTTTATGAGTATTAAGATAACAAAAGTCAGCAATATCATGTCACTCATATTCCTGGCAGAAGAAACCTCTGCTTAGTTCAGATTCTCCTGAGCCCAGCTGGGCTCCTCACCCCAGACCTGTTGTAACCTCTCAATGGCCACATTTATCTGCCGTCACTCAGGTGGTTTTAAGAGGCTGTTAATTAACAAAAACTGACAATTGCACCTTATTTTACAGGAAAATAAACTAAAGTGGGTATAGGATTTAAGTGGCTCGCCCAAGATTTCATACTGAGTTAACGTCGACAAAAAGAGAAGGCATACATCCTGGACAAAGCTGCGCTGCATAGACCATGTCCAACAGCTGTGAGTGTGGGGTTAATAATGAACTCTGTTGCAGCAGGTGAGGATTTTTTTTCCCTGCATTTAACAAAGTCTGGTTTTCTGTGTGCTTTGTCTCCTGGCTTCTAAGGTGGCACGAGTTCAAGAAGTGTTTTATGCAGGTTAGGCCATTTGTGAAGGCTGTTTTCCACCATCCTACCATTTTAGCTCTCCAGTATCTGATACTATACAAACTTGTGCTGCAGCAATTCCCGGCATTATGGACACACGCGGAATCGCTCTCCTCTACCTATTTTTATAACACTTGAAGGAACACAACCCTCTCTGGAACCTCTACCCCTCTGTCAAAGTAGGTTGAAATTGAGCAATCAGTTCAAAAGTTATTGGGGAGGGGAGGAGGATGTAGACACAGACACACAGACCGTACAATTGCATAAGCCTTGTTCCCATGAGAAACCAGACTGAAAAACAAACTGTCCTAACATGGATTCTCATAACTCCGCCTAGTATGTAAGTCATGCCAGGTCTCAAACTCATGTAACTTTTCCTTTATCACCAATGGACTCTTCTTTAGGAGGCAGTCCTTATTTTGACAGATTTGACCCCTCATGTTTCAGCTCATTGAGACATCCTTGGGGGGAAAAAAAAGCGCTCTTACAAGTTGATGTAATCCAATATCAAAAACCATCTCAATCTCATACCACGGTACGATTTATCCTGTGGGGCAGAGCTGAAAAACCATCAGGGAATAGATATGACATTACCTCTATCTACCAGCCTACCTCCACTGCACTGCGAGATCAAGGGGTTTTGAATAATATTCTATATCTCTAATGGGTCTATTCTTCCCTTGAAGGAGGAGAATCATTCCCATTAACATTAATGGGAATTATGTGTCTACCCTGAGAATAAAATTGACATTAGGCCTATTCTCAAGAAATAAAAATCTTTGCATGCTTGTTGCAGAGAGACATTCTTAAAAATAAACTCTCAAGAAAACATATTAATATAGCTAGCCTTTCAATTTAATCCTGAGCCCTCAGTCCTGCACACACTTAATCATGCGTTTACCTCCAAGGTGATCAGTAGGCCTACTAAGTTTCAGCTTTACTTTTTTTGTAAAGTTTTCCTACGCTAATATACTCCATGCAATCATGAGACTTTAAATAAATTGAAGGGAGCCCCCCCCAGGCATGCAAACCCTGCCTATGGAATTCAGCTACTCTCTGCCCTGCAGAGCGGCTCCCCCATCCTCATGCACGCTGCAAACCCTCTGATGGTCACAAGCAGCCAATTTATAGCGAGTCCTTGACTGGCCTGTGCAAGTGGAGAGGTGAGAAGGGTGCAAAATTTAACTCCTTCCTTATCAGGGCCATATCCTCTTCCTTGCCCTTGTCTAGGTTAGGAAGTGAGTAAACTGGGTTGATACCAGCCTGTAGAAAGGTGAAGATGAGCCAGGGTTTCTCACATGAGAAAAGTACAATTCCAACAGACAAAAATGTTTTCCAAACACTACAAACTCTTGACATGGGTCACCCTTAGGTTTGGGCCTGGTCAGCTGTGACTGACGGAGCCATATCCCGCCCCTCGGATATGCCAGTAAGTCTTGGCATTAGAGGAGCCCTGATCCTGCTCAGAGCTGAGGTCTTTGCCCTGCTGAGGGAAACCCTATTTCACATCTCTTTTGTGCCCACATCAGCCTTGTGTGAGAGAGGGACAGCGCTACTGCATTCCCACAGACCATGTTGCAGCTGAAAGGGAACAGGAGACTTTCAATGTGTTTCTAATTATCACATTCAGGACCACGCATGAAAACCTCCAGCACCGTGTTCTCATTTTGCTTGGATGGCCCCTTCACTAAGCCTTGCTATGGGTGGCTTGCCACAACTCCTACGACTACTAAAAGGTGTCCCCCAGCTGCGTTCCCACTCTTTTTGGAAAGACTTGCACCTTGCCATTGCATTCAACAGGGCCGATCGCCAACTCTGCTGGAGTAAATCCTATGTTTTCCCTTCTTGGTGGAGAAGAGCATGTCCAGCTCCCAGGACAGCATGAGGAAACAAACATTGTAGTTAGTTATGCTGGCTAGTGCAATACTGGGAGGTACTGCAGGCTATGGAGGTACACACTATCATAAGAAGATTTGTACACAAGTATATTGAATATGAAGGATTTCTCCAATGGATGAAAATGTTTTGGGGCCCTTCCGCACAGTTAAATAGGAATTGTAGTGATAAATGTTGTGTCTTGCAGAAAGGTCTCATCTGAGAACGGCTGATCCCTTCTGGGCTGTCTTCTGGGCATCTGCACGCTTTGACAGGGACTGCAGCTACAATGCCACCAGACATATGGTCCTTCTTGGGTGTCAAAATGTTTCTGCTTTTGAACAGTGCCAGTTGGTGCATGCTGATATGGGAATAACCACACTTCCCCAAAGCTGAGCAGCTGTAGGACTTGTGAACAAAGTGGCTGTGGGGCAAAACAAGAGCAGTCCAAATAAACACAATGAGAAACGTCACTCGTCTCAGCAGACACGTTTACAGAAAAATAGGTTTTTTTACACATAAGGGAATATTCTTTCTCTTTCTCTTTCTTTTCTCAGAAAAATAATCAAAAACAAAGCTGGCAATATCTCCACCCATAGTTTACTGTTTGCTTTTTCTTTCCTGTGGGAACTTTTAACAAAATATATTTACTAACAGACTGCAAAGGTATACGAGGAAGACTGGAAATCGTTTGCGTCACATCTTCAACTTGTAGAAACTGCCATAGTGCTAGCTGTATTTTCACCAGACACTGATCTGGTCAAATACGCTCAAGGGTCCTTACTAAGCTGTCACACCACACGGTCCCAGTTTCAAGGGATTTGCTGATGAAAGTAATCAGGGTTTGGTCAATGGGATCTTGCTGTGTTTTTCTTCTTGATGCTTGGTGATTACAAGAGGTTATCACAGAGAGCAAAGTTTGTTCCTTATAGTCTGCTGTGCTCACTTTCTACATACGCTTTCCATAATGTTCCAGGGAAAGGCCACAATTTCATCCAGTGCAGTTTTTTGAAAATGAAATCTGCAGGTTTTTGTTTATGAATTGGACTATCAACTTAAATTAAAGGGCTAAAGGCTTTACAGCTCTGCCCCTCACAAATCCTTCTGTGAGCCCAAGCATTACAGGAGCCAAATATCTCTGCAAAAAGGGACAGGTATAATCACAACAAAAAAGTGTACTCCTTTTAGTAACCATTAAAAAAGCAAAATGCATGCACTGTTGTGCTTAGTTTTGATTTCCATACCAAGTAACTTCAATAACATGCACAACTCAGGCAATTAAGTGAGGATTTTTACAGGTAATATTACCTGTCTCCCATGCTGCATTATAAACGGATTTAAAAGATGTTTCTGGAAAAAGAAAAAGAGGGGGCTTAGCTGAGTAGAAAAATAGACAATGCTCCGAAAAGTAGACAAAATTCTTCCATAATCGGGGCTAATTTGCACAGGGAAAAAAAAAAGGAACTTTTACGGAGATTTTGAAAACAATTGATTTTTCAAGTTTTACCTGACCATGGAAATAACGAAAGAGTTCCTTTGATTTGTTCCCTGTAAAATCTGTTCTATTTTTTATCACTTAAAAATATTTTCTCTTTCTGAAAAACCTGTGAAGAACCTTCTCCTTTTTCTTCTCCTTTTCCTTCTCCCAACATGCCTCAGCTTGAAATCCTGAGAGCTGTGATGATCAGTTTCTCTCCTCAGCCTGGAGTGTGAAAATCAAAGATAGGATTTCTCTCACTTAATTTTAGCCGACTGAAATAGTAGCTATCAAGTGTAAGCTACTTCTCTAGACATTTTTTATGACCTGTGTAGAGAATAGCCCTTCGGAGGTGCCACTCACTATTGACAATAATTTAGGCTAAACACCTATAAGTAGATGAGATGCATCCCACCCACAGAGTTTTCTTCTTCCTCGAGGCCAATTAGATATAAAAGTTGCTTCACAGTGATCTAGTTTCAAGACTATGAAACAAGGCTTTCAGTCAAAAATGCAAATTCAGTGAAAAGAAGACCTTTTTGTGGGAAAGGGCTGATTTCTGATTCCTGTCTTAAAAAGATATTTAGAAGAAAACAATAGCTGAGGTTTCAACATATTCAAAAAGAAAAATTTCCATTTTCAGTTTCAAACGTGCCTTGCCTTTGAAATTCATATTAATATATAGTCATTTAAAAATAAAGGGTTAACACAGAAAAGAAATTGTGTCATTGGCCTAGCCTTTTCCCCTTATTTTTAAAGTACAGATCTGCAAAGAACTTTCAAGATTTTTGCTTTCACGCTAATTTAGATCAGGAAAAAAAAATCAAAACTTCAAATATCTATTTGGGAAACAAAAGCTATTTCCAGTACAGCTCTCATGCTTCATCTAAAACTGAATTAACCCATGTTGAAAGGGTTTCAGTTGACTTCAGTGCACTTGACCATGTCCTGCTCTGGCTCTAGACCCAAAGGACTCGACCCTACTCCTGTCCACAAGCTGAGAGACCAGGGGACAATCTGCAGAGCCCAAACTCCAAGACCTTCCCTTCCACAGAGGTCCCCAGCTTGGATTCGGCACCTTACTTAATGCGATCATCTGGCTTTTGGGCAGCTGAGAGGATGCTCAGAGGAGCTCAGGCTCCTTGGAACGAGCTTGTGACCACCCTCGAGGGAGGCGTCGAGGATTATGGGGCTCCTTGCAGCCCAGACAGGGTGCTGGGCAGGGGCTGTTTCCTGCAGCCTCATGCTGGGGCTGTGCCCCCACCACTGCCTCCCCCATGAGCCTTTTGGTAGCTGGACGCCAGGCTCTCCTCCAAGAGCTAGGCTGGATTTGGGTTATTTGATCCAAATTGTCCTGATCCTGTCATGCAGCAAGCATCAACTGTGGCCCTCAGCCTTCCTTGTTTCCCACATGTATATTTTTTTCTTGGATTGTTTGTAGTTCCTTGGGAGTTACAAATGCAGTTAAATGTGCTTCTTTAACACGAGGGCAGCTCAGGCTAAGCCGTTCTTCTGAACCTTCATTTTCTGTATGTCCCTTGGTGTCAAACTGAAATGTTGAGAGATCCTTAAATGCACCTACAACACCCAGGGCTGTTCAGAGGGAACATCTGCTGTGACTTTGCCAGTGGGTGAGTTTATGCTGGGCTGCTTGGCGGTGTCTGGCAGAGCAACCTCCGGCCTCACCTGGTAAGAGCAGGTCTGTCCTGTTCCTCCCAAACACACTTTCCAGGCCACAAAGTCCCGCAGTGGCCTTTGAGCCGTTGCCACCACTTAACACAGCAGTATGAAAACCAACACTGAAAAAGAGTTAACATCTCAGTATGAAACTAAGCTGTACAGCATATGTTTTTAACATTAAAAAGAGGAAACAGTTCAGGGAAAAAGATGCAGACCTGGCAAGTTTTTCTTTGTGGGAGGGGAAAAAAAGAAGAAGAAGAAAAAAGGGCCAAGAGTTTTCTCTCTCAGATGGGAAGGGGACAGGCTGTATCTCCTGAAGAGCAGCTCATGTGGGGGCTGCTGGCACACTGCAAGGGCAGGTTGGCACCTGAGACCTGTTGCAGCTGACATTGCGAGGTTGGATTTGCAGAGGTAACTGCACCATTTCTGGCACGGACTGAGGGCTCCTTTCGTCAGCAACAGCCCTTTCCTATCACAACCTCCCTGTTTGCCAGCTGTATCGCTGCAAGCCTGATTTTGCAACACTTCTGCATGTAGGAAAACCGTGCTCATACATGCAACTCCACGGGGTCTACGCAGCTCAGAAGCAATACTCAGGACAATGTAGCATGGCATTTACCACAGTTGTCATGTTTGAGGCATTTTTAGACAGTCCCCAGCTCTTGCAGCTACACAAGAATCTAAGCATCCATTTATTTCAATAATTAAGCTATGAGAGTGCTTTGGCTATAGAGAGAAACTTCAAAATATTGATTGTGTGGATTCCAAAAATAAAAAGCAAAGAAGAGGGACATCTTTTTTTCTTTTTTAACTGGAAAAAAATACCCTCCACGTTTTTTAAAATGGTGTCATTATATTGTAATATTCAAAAGGCTGGGGTTGATAATACTTTCCAAAGGAGTAAATAAAAAGGCACGGGAATCAGCCCTAGAGCACCAAATCTTGTTCTCATTTCTTCAGTGGGCCAACATGGATGTAGCTGAGAGTAAAACCAGGCCCACAGCAAGCCAGCAAATGACTACTTAGAGCAATGAATGGTATATTGAAAACAGCAGGCCACTGCTTAATTGTTTGGTGAGTATCTTTGAGACAAGTATTGTTCACCCCAACAAAGCCACCAGATCTGCCATCTTGGATTTGTCTTATGATTTTTAGGCAATGCAGTTTGCAGGCCTCTTAATTAATGCCAGGCCAAAAGCCCTGTGGGAAGACTGACTCACAGCAGCAGAGCCCACAGTAAGAGGATGGCAGAGCAAAAGGCTGTCCTAGCCGGGCAAAGCCCTCAGAGACTTTATCCTTTTCCTTTTGAGGCGAATAGTTCACTGTGAAGCCTGATAAGCTTCTGAGTTTGTGGGATCAGAATGAGGGCGCTGAGGTTGATGTCTTATCACTTCTAACAGAGATAAATAGATCGAGTGGTGATCTGAGAGTTTACTGGGAGTTGCATAATGTGTATGGTATGTCCTTAATAAGAAGACAGCTCATAGTTCGGATCCACTTTTCCTCCAGTCCTCTTTTCTTTGCCGCTTCTTGTATATTCGCTTGCATGTATATGAACGCACATGGGCATACGCAAAAACCGCAGACGTGTGGATTAATTACCCATTGGACTAAATCTGTTTGAAAAATACCTTCAAAGAGAACTAAGCCCTCCCCCCAGTTGAAATCAGGAGGAAAACTGGAAACTGAAATACTTCTGGTGGCACTCCGATAAAACACAAGGAATACTTGAACCACACCAGGACAGTGCTACAGCAGATTAGTGTCTATCTGTGCTGTATGTTTGGCTTCCAGGAGTTGTCACTCACATTAGTCTCTGCCGGTACTACTTTTATCTTCCTAGCCCTGATTCCCTACTCGTTTCCATCAGTTCAGAAAGCTTTACATTTCTGCCCCTTGATATCCACACCCAGAGCCTCCCTTCTTCTTCTGTGGCTCCTCACCTAGAGCCTGGGGAGCACAGGCCAAGGCCCATGGTGAACCCCACTTGGGTGACCGTGTCCTCGTTGCCTCTGGGTCTGCTGTCACATATTTGAAGACTATTTGCTATGGTTCTGTGTGCTTTAAGGGAACTTTCCTACTCAGATGTCTAAATTACAGAAGAACTTGTTTGTTCCTCTGCAGGCAAGGCAGGCACTTGGGAGGTTTGCATATATATTGTAGGGAGTCTGGGTAGAAAACATTTGAACTAGCCTGGGTTAATACTTCAGTATGGCCATATGAAATCAGAACTAAGCTCTTTTTTGATTAATGAAATCTATGCACAGGAGAATTGCACAAGCCAGAATGTCCTTTCTTCCTTTATGCTCATATCAACTGTACTGAATGGAAAATTTGCACGTGAGAAGAAAAGGTCATCTTGAAGTTACATGAATCATTCTGAGGGGCATTGCCATACCTTGCCTCAGTTCTAAGTCATAGCCTCTATTTCCTCT